ATTTTTTAAGTCCGTAGAGGGATTTCTTTGCTGTGAGACTTTTTTTACAATCCTATAAGAAAAATTACATTAGAAAATAACATGAGGACAGCTGTACTGTCTCCTATCAAAGGACTATTTAGCTCTGGGCTAAGCATATAGGCATTTGGATCTGCTGATATCAAGTAACTACCTCTAGTGCTAGGATGGAATTTGCTTCTCAACATGCTCATGACATTATGCAGCTCCTATCATCTCCATTTTGTTCCCTTTCTTCTAATGAGCATCACAGACAGAGAAGTCTATAAATATTTAGTTATTCTTTGTACGAAAGCTCATATCTCTATCTGATTGCCTATGCAACACCTCTGGGTACCTCTTCTATTCTTTCATCATTCCTGTTAAGACAAGGAAAATCAAAAAGGCATAATTTTCCTAGCACAGATGCAGCACAGAATTAAATAGAGGGATAACAATGATCTGCATTATTTCTATTTCCTGTTATAATATTCTTGTGGGGAAAGAAGGCTGCAGTCTCCATACTTCTCAACTGCTGGCAGGCAAAGAACTGCTGGTTCCATAGAACAAATGGCTGTTAGCAGTGAGATGGAAAGATCAACTCGGAATGCATTTTAGGAAGATTAAGATTATTCTTCTCCTATATACATCAGTTCACATTTGTCCATATAAAATTTGGAATTTGTTTAATACATTTTGGAAATTCAACAAGATCTCCCTCATCTACTTGCCCGTTAATTTCTTAAAGGATTTCAATGTATTCATGACACATGGCTTCCTCTTACAAAATGCATGGTGACTCTTGATCACTACGTCATATTTGTTCACACCTCAACCAAGTCTCTTCTTTGCATGTCATCCCATCAGTTTCCTTATAATCATACCAGACTTAATGGGCAGAAGTTCCACCCACCTTTTTAAAATACAGCTCTGCATTTGCCATTTTGCTGATACTGAGAATATTTCAGGTTAGAAGACATCCACCTCAGTCAGCAATTCAGCTATCCCTATCATGAGTTTCTTTACAATTATGTTTCAATTGTAAAGACTTCAAAATCACAGGTTATTTGAGTAACCTGTGATAAACATATCTGAAGGCAACAAATCCCTTAAAAATATAGTGAAATATGACTTTCTCATTCCTCAAGAAACATTACACTTTCTTCAAAATTATAAACAGCCTATTGTCAGGCCTGACAAATTTCAGCCCTGGTCTAATGACATTTTTAAAGCCTAGTTTCTTGGGAACCCTCCAGACAGGAAACATCTGGTTTGTCCCACTAGAAACATAAGCTTTTACTTCTAAATTTGCTTTATACAATATACTAATTTTCAAAAACAGAATATAAAATATTAACATTTATCCTGGAGTTTCTTTGATTTTATCATGTACTAGTACATTAATTGCAAGCACTGTGAGTGTGTGGTTGTATTTCCTGACTGGGCCTGTTTTACTTATCTATATTTATTGTCAGTTGAGCTTTTTTAATAGCATCAGTTGTATACTGTAAAAATATACCCCTTAAATGGGACTGGCAGACTGTTAAAATTCTTGGTTTTGACCCAAAACTCAAGTGTTTGGGTAGTGCATTAACAGGACAAGAAAGGGTGCATTACCACACAAAATATACTATCTAATTAAAATGCAGAGTGGGAACAGAAAGAGATAATGTGATGATATTCATCCATACAGAAGACAGCAGTCTACACATACTGGCAGCTTAATTACAGTGTAATTATTTTTTTCATAGGCCAAGCAAAATTTTAAGAAGGAACTTAGAATTAATAACAAAGGACAGATATTTTCAAGGAGTCTCCCAAGTGTGAATTGTTGCTTAGGAAATTTAAAGAAGTATTTATTTGACAATGTAACAAGTAGCCTCTCACGGTTTGAGAAAAAACAGTCTCTAATAGATATTCAGGGACAAGACAAGCATATGTACAATATGACCCATGTAGGAGGAATGAGCTGGGAGAAGAAAACTCAGATTTGTTAAAACAAAAAAGAACAAAGTTGGAATGTTATTTTTATGGCATTTCAGGCAGATATTAACAAGATTGTATTTTTTTAGCCAAAAGGTAAAACGTTGTGTAATAAAATTTGATGGGACCCGAGCTTTATGTACAAATGTATACAAACAGCTACCTATGTCCAAGATTCTTGATAAAAAGAATCTGTTAGAGTCACAAGAACCTTGAATGTGAAAAATGAAAGGGTTGTTCAAATCAGAGAGGATATCTGTCACAGAATGATCAGAGAGAGACAGAGGTATAAACAAAATGTGGTAAAGCTCCATACTAATACTGAATTTTCACTAAATCTAGAACAAAACAGGTTAGAGACAGATCTGGGGTTTACCATCTGTAGTTGATGATGGGATTATAGACAGTAGTTTAATTCATTTTTTTAAAGAACATGCTGAAGGGTAGGGAGAGAAGATGAAAGGAAAGAGTGATGGGAATTCAGGAGAGAATGCTGTGGATGAAAACATTGAAACCTGTAAAGAACATGCTGAAGGGTAGGGAGAGAAGAACAGATGAAAGGAAATTATGCTACAGTATTCATCTTTTTGATTATTGTAGCCATTCAATCAGATTATTTCATTATTTAGATCAATAATAATGCATAAAAAAAATTCCCAAGAGAAGCTGTGGATCCTCCATCCTTGGAAGTGTTTTAAATCCAAATTGGATGGAGTTCTAAGCAACTTGATCTAGGGAAAGGTGTCCCTGTTTGCGATAGAGGGATTGGAACGAGATGATCTCCAACCCAAGCCATTCTATGATTCTGTGGATCTTTGTAATACTACTGTATTTGCCCAAATACTTGATGCAGTGGAAGAATTCCATTGAGTCAAATGGGCTTTGTCTGTCCTTTCCGACCCAACAAACAATGTACTTTTGCCCTACAACATTCTCAAAAGAAAACTTGCCTTAGTCAAATTAGGACAGCAGAATATTGTTAGCACTAATTAAAGCTGTCTAATCAGCATATCAGTGCTCTTCACAGTCAATTCATTTCTTATTTTAGTTTCAGCAAATATCCCCACCAAGTAGACTGAGGCAAGCATATGATGCCTCAGAAACATGTTTCTTATTATTTGAAAATTAGAAGATGTTAGAGATCTACATTTTTAGAAACAGTCTTTCTTGAAAGTCAGAAACAATGAGCCTATTCTGAAGTCATTTTTCTTAGAGCCCTAAAGCTGTATGTGGTTCTAGTCTCATGCAATTGTTTTCTTTAATCCAATAGAGCTGTCTTAAAACTGTGTGACTCAACTGTTCAAACTCCATTTTGCTCAGAGCAGGGTGATTTTAAGTTGAGGAAGACCAAAGTTTCAAATGCTTCTCTAGCTGGAAAATTGGAACTCTGGCTATCTCTGCTCTTCATTTTTTCAATTTTTTTCTCACAAACTGTGTTTTGTAATGAGGAACAGCTGTCTTGATCTTTGGAAACTATATGGAAACTTATAGTAGTTTTCAATAAAACACCATGCTTACATTTTATTAGCTATATTCTCTTAGAATTATTTTTTAAATGTTTTGTTTTCTTGTGAAGACTATATTTACATTTAGGCAAGCAAATATATTCTGTACACAAAATGAGAATATACTTTATACATATCTAGTTCCACAGCTCACAGATCATATGCTCACACAAGGAGAACAGTATTTTTCCTAAGGCAATAACTATGTGTTTATTTCTAAGAGATATTATATTTTATATTGTTAGGCATTATGGTTTGTATTTTACTACAATACAAAAAGTAAACTTTTTTTTTTTTTTTTTGCAGTTGAGGGCAGAGGAATCAAAGGATTAAAACTGCACAAATGCAAGCACGAAACCTCAGTACCCTGCAGTTAACAGAGCAAGCTGATCAAAGCTGGTTTTCTGCTAATAAGGCTTTGGATTCATTCACACAGCTAATGGTTGCAGTAGCTGAGGGCACTACCCTTGACCTTCTGTTGCCATCCCTCTGCTGTAGCTCACTGGCCCTGCACTATGAGATCAGAAGCTTGCTCAGCTCCTGACTACCTCACTGTGTACTCTGTCTTCTCAGCTCAGCTCTTCCTTTACTTCTGATTTAGACCAAGATGCCAAACTCTGCCCTGACGTGACCAGTGCACACACACAATCTCTCTCCTGCCAATAATGCTGTGAGGGCAGTAGTCTTAACTAAGAGGACTACCAGCAGCTAAGATGATTCTATCTTAACTAATTTTTTCTGAAAATTTTAACTTAAATCTTTCATTAAATTTTTTCAATTACTGGGAAAATTAAAACTTGAGTTTGCATTAAGGTAGGTAGAATATATGTTTTAAAGTATCGATTTTCCTGCTTTTATTTTTGAATACCACCAGCTAAAATCCAGGATATTGTTGTATGGCAGAGATGCACATTTTTTTCTTTCACTTAGAAATATGTAGAGCATATTAGCAACACTGGTTAAAAAAGACTTAGGGAAGGAAGCAGGTGTGTGTTTGACATCTTGCTCCAGTTTTCATGAGAAAAAAATCCTAAGCTTAATATATTCTCTATGAATAAATAAGATTGCAATTGAGACTCTATGAGGATTTCCTCCAGAATTTTGGCTGACTGCTTGGATAAATTCATTCTAAGAAAAACTAGGAGGATTTTAGGTAACAGGAAATAATTCTCTGAATTAAAGTGATTAGTGTTCAGTATTTAATTTTAATTTTAATTAGTTTTGCAATAACCAGTACAGATTATAAGATAAATTTCTGCTGCCTTTGAAAGAAGTAAGTCAAGCAGCAGGTGAATTTCAGATGTGTCAATAGTCTAATAAATCACCAGCATCACATTACAGAGAATTTCTAGGTGTTTCAGAGTTCCTTTTCCAGTCTTACCTACTATAACCCTGCTTGACATATGATGTACTGCCAAATTGTAGTATCAGTGGGATGACTATGAGCTAAAAATTAATCTGATTACAGTAGAAATAAATTAACCTTAAATATTTCACAGCAACATGCAGACTGACCTGTCCAGTAACAGGTTAGGTGCAAATAAAAGCTTTCCTGGGTGTTCCATGGAGCGCCAGACTAAGCCGATCATCAGGATCTCTAACCAGGCACATTCCAGTAGATGGACCTGATCATGGAGTGTTAAATCCACAAATCCTGGAAGAGTAAATAGGAGACAGTAAAAACACGCCAGTTTTGTAAGTGGAACAACATAATTCAGAGAATCAGGTTAAAAAGTGCATTAGAGCTGGATAACCAAAGAGAGCAATAAAACAGGCATTTGTTCTCTTTGCTTTTTGTGATGAGTTTTGTCTATTATTAGGTCCACTGTGACTCCGTCCTACAGAATAGTCAACACTTTCTAGCCCCCTGTTTGTGTCCTGGCTGTATCTTCACCCGAAAGCAGGGCAAGAGCCAGGAAAACATCTCCATCCCCACACTCATTGCCAGTGGCCTGGAAAGCCAAGTGCACGCTGAAGTAAATGACACCTGTCTGTCTGCTCCAGTGCCATGCTGCCTGGGGCATGATGAAGGCAAAATAGAAAATGCCTCTTAGAAAATGAAATGACAGCTCTAATCAGTTAACCTCAGACCAGTTTTCCTGGTGGAATGCTGTTTTACAGACTCATGAACAATTCACCATATTAGAAAATATTGTTATGTTTGGTAAAGCAATTACTGATATGATTATTTTTAATGAAATCTTCTGAGAAAGCTAAGCGATCTATTGATAAAGAATCATTCAAAAGCAGGAAACAGATTTGATATGTCTGAAAACAAACCCATATATCAATCATTACAAGTGAATGTAGCCAGTTGCAGTACCTGCTGCTTTTATGAAAGTGGTAACCATAGGGAAAAAAATAATTGTCTTTCCCTGTATTTTTCCTTATTACCAAATACAAAAATTATTTTCAGACTTCAAAGACTGTTGGGATGGCATTTGCCTGAGTCACCAAACAGCCTGAACAATAGAGCTGAAACTTAAAAGAGCAACATTCTCAACTACAAAGCATCGGTTACAGCACTAAAGACCAAAATTGGCAGAAACTGTATATGGAGAACAAACAATAAACACCACATTTCCTATTAAGTATTGCCTTGCTGTGACAACACATAATAATGCACTGGTTTTTCCTATGCATGAAGAGTACCACACAAGTCCCTGTGCAGTGCTTAAGTCTGCAGACAGTGCATTACAAGTCAGTTATATTGCCATCATTTCGCATGGTTGTGTGCTATTCTGCAGCAGATTTTTTTTGACTGCTGCAGGAAAACTGAGCTTGTCAACAACTGTGGCAATTCATTTTTCTGTTAAACTCTACTCATTCTGCAATATTCAGGATACTAAACTGCTTTGTTTTGTTCTCTGCACTGTTTTGGTCTTTATTTTTACTAGACCTATTTTCAAACACCTTTTAAGTCCTTTTTACTATCTCTGTTTTTCCTATGCCCACATATGAAATTTCAGATTGCACTGAGACTAAGTAATGTGGACAAAGAGAGAGAAAGTAAAAATGAAAGCTATAAATTACCTCACTACTATTGTAGAGGAGGGATATTTTGTTGGCAAGGTCTGATAATATAAACATACTGCCAAACACCTTTTAAGGTAGCTGAACATGAATTCTTTGCATTTAAATGATCTAAAAGGATTGGCCAAAAATATTATTGCTGTCTAGAATTGTAACTTGGATTTCAGTGAAGTTAAGAAAGTTTCAAAAATCTGGGATAGGAAAGAAAACTGATTGTGGGTCCACAGTTTAAAGCACTAAATGGTCTGTCAACCTGACACCTACACTGGGTTTTAGAACAAAAGAGTGAACACAAACCTTGATTGATGCTGATTTAAAAGTCTGTATTACAATAATACACACTTACTGCAACTCACACCAAAATTTATCAAATTGCTTTGATGGCTTTTTAGGTGACATTAGTTTATAAAACTAGCATAGTGCTGCTAATAAAACTAGCTAGCTAGTTTAGCTAATAAAACTAAATAGCTTGCCCAGGGAAGCTGCAGATGCCACATCCCTGGAAATGTTCAAGGCCAGGCTGAATGGGACTTTGAGCAACCTGGTCTAGTGGAAGGTGTCCCTGCCCATGGCAGGGGGCTTGGAATTAGATGATCTCAAGATTCCTTCCAACTCAAACCGTTCTAGGATTCTATGAAATAACAATATTGATGAAACAGACTTCTATGAGATATCTGATTTTGTAAAAACATGCAACACATTAACTGCTTGAAAATATTTTAAGTTACATAACTTAGTATGGCAAAAGGTTAATGAACTGAAGTGTTTCTAGAGGAACACCATGCACTTTACTTTTCCACCCTAGACAACTTTCTTCATGATGCCATGAAACAAAAATCATAATTCGGGTGTCATGATGGCATGTGGGAATATGCAAAAAGCAGGTTGATACTGTAAGTAATGCAAATCACTCATTAGGTTAATCGTGATTCAGTTTAAAACCAAGAACATTCAGCATATTTTCAAGATGGAAACAAAAGCAGCTATGAAGAAGACTTGGAAGTGATGGAGAAAAATCAGCCTAGTTTGAGCTTCTAATGAAGACAATGAACTAAATGAAAAGCCAGGGAAGCTCTGAGAGAGTAGGAAAGTTGAGTTACTTAAGTGGGATGAGAATTTGGACAGAATAGTAGAGAAAAGTCAAAATGAATAAAACATTGAAAAATATGCCCTCTAGTGAGGAATAAGAGGTATTTGTGAAGCTAAATAGTCTAGAGGGGTTAAAGGACTGCAATGGGTAAATATCCAAAGAAAAAGAGAATAGTATTACAAAAGGTAATGGCATAACATAGAGAAGCCACTCTGGAAGCTAAACCTGCTCCAAGTCAGACTACAAATGAGGGGCCATTGTTAACAACAAAAGCAGTTATTATCTAAGCAACACGTTGTTACCACGAATTTGCTATCATTAGAAACATTAAGATTGAATGATTATTTTTAAGCCATACTTTTGTTCAAGCAAGTTAATTCAGAATAATATTACATACAGTTAAATTAAATTATGAATAAATCATTAGTCACTTCATCACTCAGAGAATACTGCACTCTGATGTTGCTGACATTATGGGCAGAAGTGCACAGCATTCTCAAATATCAGTGTTCTTTTAATGCTGGAAAGTTCTGAAAAGTATTCAAAAAGGGTTTTTTTAATTCTCTATTTTTGGTTACTCTGGTTTAAGGCAGAAGAAAAACATTCACTTCACTGTTGACAAATTAATTAACTGAAGTTTGCATGTAACTTACATCTGACTCCACAAGCCGGACTGGCCAATTGCATGACCTTATGAGAAACATTAAAATCTTCATGTGGCCAAAGCCCCCAAACCTAGATTGCCATTAGGCCATTCATCTATCATATGCTTGGCAGGAGGAAGACACTTACAGAATAAAAGCCATGGCTAGACCATCCTTTTGATTTTTTTAAAATACAGATAAATTAGCAGCATTTCTGAGTGATTGCCAACAATGAACACAATGACTGTTCCACAAACTCTTGTATAAATATGGAAATCTGAAGATCTGAAAAGCCAGAATGGTTTTTAGAGTACCCAGCTAGGAGTAGGTGGCAAATAAAGTTATGTGAAGAACATAAAACGGTAATGTTCAAACTAAACTGGTTATCCTTTCTAATACAAAGCAGCAGTACATGCTGCATCAGTGATGATATGATACAAATCTCTCTCTTTCAGAGAATAAGACACCCCAAAGCAGCAGTGGGACCATGGAGGAAAAATTATAAAAATCTCTATTTGGCAAGCATGACTCTCTAGATATGACATTAGATTTGGGAACCCAAGATTGTATGATCCTACCATCCTAAAAAAAATGAAAGCAGTAACCATCTACAACAGGTATGAGCAAATCTGTTTTTAAACTTGGATTTTGGGCAGTTGTCCAATAGCAACACATGAACTGCTGGAAGTAGTATTCAGTAAAGCATACACCCCTGAGATGACAGAAAGTGTTTTATGCACTAAATTGTTTGATTGCAGTAAGGAACAGCATGAAACTCAGATGGTTTTAGTTTACTGCTACTGTAACATATATTGTGAACCCTGCAGCCTTCTGAAATAACTGCTACTAACATATGGATATGTAGATATATATGTCAAATTTTACCCATCGGTTGGAAACTAACAAATTCATCAATTGCCTTGGTGACTTTTGACTTAATAAGTAGCTTTCTATTTTATCAGCCACAATGTATCTAGCAATTAACATTCTCTGAAACCAAATATTCGGTGTCATTGCAGATTCAGTCCTACAACAGTAAGTCCTCCAGTGGGTACTTACTCCCAGTTGGGGATCGTTATCATAATTTTGCAGTCCCTACTAACATTCATAAGACACAACTCCATGATGTCCAGACTGTTCAAAATCAGACATGTAGAGGTGAAAACAAATGATAAAGAAACCTTCTTTTTACATCTGATCCAACTCTAATACAACATATATGTTCATACTGTATCTCTTAATTACCTAAAATATAAATGTCAGCCAATTTTCGCAAAACAATAAATATTGTGCCATAAAGAATGACTCTGTCTCCAGATGCTTTGAAGTTTAAAAAGCAATAGCAAAGCTCCATCTAGCAAAGTATCCCATTTACAACAGCAATTGATACCAGATGCTTATGGCAAAATGTACAGCAGGAGAAACTTCGCTTCTACGGGAAGTTTTCTCAGGCTCCAGTGGCATGTGGCTCAGGGGCTTGCAGTGCTGAAGACAGTCTTTTTGTGCTTAATGTCCCTTAACATTTTTCCCTCCAAGTTCCTCCAGCTGCTTTTTGAACTCACTTAGGCATTTAATGCACTTCAGATTTTTTTTATATACTCTTCAAATAGTACTCTCCAGTAAGAAGTTTCACACTCTCAGTAAACACTAGGTAAAAAATAATCTGCTGTTCTGAAAAGAAAGAATCTGACCTTCACTTGATACAGCTAATTATTTTATAGGAAGATACTGTAATTCCCTAGGTCATCATCCCATGTCTCTTTTCCAAGTATTTTTAATATATTCAGTCACTCCTCAGACGAAAGTTATCCTGTTCACCTTTGAAACAATCTTATCCTTCTTGGAGCATTTTCCAGTTCAACTAACATTCTTTCAGAGACAGTGAGA